GGGGAATGAGCCAATCCCCCTACCAGGGCCATCTGTCCCCTGCCAACACACCACCCGCCACTCCCCCTCCCTACCCCCTAGGCTGGCAGCCTGAACTCAAGTTTCCCCAGGGATGCCTGGTCTGGGCTGCTGGATTCCAGTGTCCAGGAGCCTCCCCCCCCCCGCGTCCCTGGAAATGGGTTCTGTTGGCTGCCCTCGAGTCAGCTGGACGCCCCACACCTGGGCCTGGAAGCAGGGAAGGGCATGCACCACAGGGAGGAGGGTCGGATACAGCAGCCGGGCTGAGAAGCATCTGTTCTTTTGACGCCTTTGCTGAAGCATCTTCTTAGCACCTTTGCTTCCTCAAATAGACTCCTATCTGGGAGAGGGGGCTGGAGAGGCTCAGGCCTAGGCATGGGGGCTGGGGCACAAGCTCCTGATCCCGAAGGGAAGCCTGGGGTTTCAAACTCCTGAGTCGGCAGAGCTGGGGGAGAAGGGGCACTGAGGACCTTGACACCTGAGTGGGGGGGAGGGGGCTGGGTTTCTGTTCTGAGGGAGACCAGAGGCGGGCCAGACTCCTAGATTCTGAGTCTGGCGAGAGGGGAGTCAGGGCTCTGGACTTCCTGGGGACTGGGAGAGTGCAGGCTTAGAATTCCAGGTCTGGAAAAGCGGTCTGGCCCTGGAGGAGGGGGCTGGAGCTGGACTTCGAGCCTTTGCCTCTTGCCGGCCTACAGCCTCCTGGAGAAGCGGCAGGAAGGAGCGGAGACGCTGGAGCTGAGCGCCGACGGGCGCCCGGTGACTGCGCAGACCCGGGACCCGCCGGTCGTGGACTGCACCTGCTTCGGCCTGCCTCGCCGCTACATCATCGCCATCATGAGCGGTCTGGGTTTCTGCATCAGCTTTGGCATCCGCTGCAACCTGGGCGTGGCCATCGTCTCCATGGTCAACAACAGCACGACGCACCGCGGAGGCCACGTGGTGGTGCAGGTAGCTCAGGGCCAAGCCCGGGCCGGAGACGCCCTCAGCTAGCCCTCTCCACGCTCCCGGTGACGTCAATCACTCCTGAGCCGCCCAGGCCACGCCCCCTCGAAATCGCTGAGTGCCGGAGCAGCCCCGCCCTCTGTGCTGCCCCTTAGCTCCGACCTCGCCTCCGACTCTCCAGCTTCCTAAGCTCCGCCCTGACCTAAATAAAGTCCCGCCCCTGGTCGCAAAATGTGGAGTCTGCCTCCGCTACTGGGTCCTCGTGTGTTGCCCCTGCTCTGCTTTAGACCTGCTTGCAATTTGGCTCAAACCCCATGCCCTGGTCCTCGGGTCCTATCTACTTAGTCCCGGTCCCATCTCAGGATCCCCCGGAATGTTGACCCGGGCTTTTCTGAAGCTATAGCGCTCCCTATGTCTCACCAGGTCTGCTCTGTTATCTGAGGCTCAGCCTCAGCGCAGATTTTCCCCTATTTTAATTTTGGTGTAGGAAGTGCCCCCTGCCTCAGGGAAAAATAATCCTGGTTTAGGGTGTGGCTACCGATGCCCCGCCCCTTGCTCCTTTCCAATCAGACTCACCTCTGGCAGTTTCTTGTCCCTTCCTATCCCCATCCAGTCACTGGGCAAACAATTACTAAGTTGGGGAGAAGTGAAAAGAGAACAATTCCCATACCTGGGCCCCTAGGTATTAAGGAGGGCGCACCGAGTGAAGCAGGCTGGACGAGGCTTACAGGCCGCCATGGGCCCCGTTGCTAAGTCAGTCTGGGCCTAGCGATGTGGAAGAGCAGAGTTCCTTGCCTTGATAGCGGGATGTCGGGAGCTCTGAGTGGCCGCTGTTTTGGCGGGAGAAGGGGATCCTCGCTGCTGAACGGCTGAGGGCTGTTTGTGGGAGCTGATTGGTGGAGGGGCAGAGCCTGGGCAGGGCTGCTGGTTTGATGCGCCTTTTGGCCCGCAGAAAGCCCAGTTCAACTGGGATCCAGAGACTGTCGGCCTCATACACGGCTCCTTTTTCTGGGGCTACATAGTCACCCAGATTCCTGGAGGATTCATCTGCCAAAAATTCGCAGCCAACAGGTACAGTGATGGGGTCTCAAGGTGGGCACATCTAAGTGTGGTCTTGAATTTGGGGGCTGACTCCGGGAAAAGAAGAGGAGCCTGGATTTGGGGCAGGTGTTAGAGAAAGGAGGGGTTTTTGGTTGTGGAAGGCAGGCGTCACGGAGAAGGCGGGTTTTGAAGAACACTGGGCCTGGGCTGCTGTGGGCCGGAAGGGCAGAGTCCCAGGCGCGGCTGGATGGCTAGTCCCTTTCTCTGCCCCTTCCCATCAGGGTTTTCGGCTTTGCCATTGTGGCTACATCCACTCTGAACATGCTGATCCCCTCGGCCGCCCGTGTCCACTATGGCTGCGTCATCTTCGTGAGGATCCTGCAGGGGTTGGTAGAGGTAAAGCCCCGCCCCACGTGACCACGCCCCCACCCTGACTCCGCCTCCTCAGTGACCTTGGCTTTCTGGCTTCTAGGGAGTCACATACCCCGCCTGCCACGGGATCTGGAGCAAATGGGCCCCCCCCTTAGAACGGAGTCGTCTGGCGACGACAGCTTTCTGCGGTGAGCGCGAGGGGCCGGGGATCCAGACCCTGCGTCTGACGGGTCCCAGAAAGGCGAGGGTTGCGGGCTGGCACTCCGGGCTCTAAGGGAAGATGCGCCTGTTCTCTCTCCCGCCCCCGCCCGCTTAGGTTCCTACGCTGGGGCGGTGGTCGCGATGCCCCTCGCCGGGGTCCTGGTGCAGTACTCGGGATGGAGCTCCGTTTTCTACGTCTACGGTGAGGGGCTCGGGCTCCTGGTTCCGGAGGCGCAGGTGCGGGGCTTGGCGGGGCCGGTGGTCATCCTGCTCCCACCCCTCCTGACTCTCCCCAGGCAGCTTCGGGATCTTCTGGTACCTGTTCTGGCTGCTGGTTTCCTACGAGTCCCCCGCGCTGCACCCCAGCATCTCAGAGGAGGAGCGCAAATACATCGAGGACGCCATTGGCGAGAGCGCCAAACTCATGAACCCCGTCACGGTCCGCGCTCAAGCCTGTGGGGTGGGGGGTGCGGGAGTGCGGGGTGGGGCTCGAACCCGCACAGCACGTAGGTCGCGGCCGGTTCTTGTAGACGCTCAGAGGAGACAGGACTGGAGCACAAAGTGTGTCGGGGGTGGGGGGGGCTAGAACCTAGGAGGCAGGTTACAGCCCGAGGTGGACCCGACCAGCCCGCTCGGGGGCGGGGTCCGGCCGCACAGTGGGCGGCCCTGGAACTGGATGGGGCGGCTAACGCCGTCGGAGCCGGGGCTGGAAGGTGCGGGTTTTACTTACACCTTGGGGTGGGCGAGGCTACATTCAGGGGGAGCAGCTGAACAGCCTGGGCCCACATTTACGGGCCCCTGAGGGTCACCCTGGTGCCTGGACACCTGCGAACCCGGGAGGCCACTGTAGAGCGGGGACTCCTTCATCCCCGAAGTGTCACCGTGAGGCTAGGATTGTCTGGGTCCCGGTGCGGACATGGTGTGGCCGGCGCCCAGAGGTGTAAGGTTGGGATCCCTGGGTCTCTGGGACGGTAGTGGGGCCTCAGGGGACACGAAGCCCCCTCCAGCCCTGGTCTCGGTCTGAGCGGCCGCCCTCGCTCCCCGCAGAAGTTTAACACGCCCTGGCGGCGCTTCTTCACCTCCATGCCGGTCTACGCTATCATCGTGGCCAACTTCTGCCGCAGCTGGACGTTCTACCTGCTCCTCATCTCCCAGCCGGCGTATTTCGAAGAGGTGTTCGGCTTCGAGATCAGCAAGGTAGGTCGGGGAGGAGGGGGTGCGGCGCCGCGGGGCGCAGGGGGCGGGGCCTGGCCCGCGGCCCTCCCCGCCCACCCCGCACACGTGCTCCGGTAGGTGGGCCTGGTGTCGGCGTTGCCCCACCTGGTCATGACCATCATCGTGCCCATCGGCGGCCAGATCGCCGACTTCCTGCGGAGCCGCCGCATCATGTCCACCACCAACGTGCGCGTGGTGTCGCCCCCGGTCCCGCTGGTCGAGCGCCGCACGCTTGGATCAGATTCTCCAGCGACAGTCTGGGTGGGCTGGGGACCTCCGCGAGGAAGGGCGGGGCGGGGTGGGGGTTGGGACTGCACGGGTGGGACACGAGAGATCAAGGTGGACCAGGGAGGGCAGGGCCTGCACGAGGCTGGGCAGGGTCTGCACGAGGCTGGGCAAGGCGGGATGGGACCTGGGTGACCAAGAGGGGCTACTGAGGGGCCTGGAGAGAGGCTCTGGGATGCTGGCTGCCTGAGTGGGCCCTGGGGGGGTGGGGGGGCTGGACTCCTGCCTCGGGGGCGTGGCCTAGTCAAGACATGGAGCTAGGAGGGCCAGTGGTCAGCGTGGACAAGGGCTGGGCCTCCCGGTGGTGGGGGTCTGGCACACAGGTGGCGGGACTGGGGCAGATGGAGGCGGGTTGGAGCCGGAGCAGGTCTGTGAGGGTCGTGCGCGGGCCCTGCGCCCGCCCGGCGCTCAGGAGAGACCCTCGTAGGCTTCGGCATGGAAGCTACCCTGCTGCTGGTGGTCGGCTACTCGCACTCCAAGGGCGTGGCCATCTCCTTCCTGGTCCTCGCCGTGGGCTTCAGCGGCTTCGCCATCTCTGGTGAGAACCGTGGGTCTGCAGCTAGGGGCACTCTGCCCAGCCCTCAGGAACTTTCTGGATGGGAACTGGGCCTGCCCAGCCTCGAGGAAGATGAATTAGAAAGGGCAGAGTTGGGACCAGCAGTTAGCGTAATGGCTATGTCGCTGAACTCCTATGTAGCCTACTGCGGTTCAAGTCCCGCACCCTGTGGCTTAAACTGACGCCGGGCGCGTGTGCGCATGTGCCCAAGATCCCGAGAGAATGGAGGAGAAGGGATTGCAGCATGGCCATCCTATCTGGGGGGGTATTGCCGCATGGCCATCCTATCTGGGGGGTGATTTCTCACTTTCTGTCTCTCTGTCTCTCTGTCTTTCTGGCGAGTACAAGCACCCTATCGCAAAAACCTCTCAAAAAAAAAAAAAAAGAAAAAAAGAAAAAAGAAAAGAAAGAAAGGGCAGGGTTGGGGTTAGCAGGTGGCGCAGTGATTAAGGTGCTGGACTTGCACATGATCAACTGCGGTTTGAGTCCCCCGACCCGTGGCTTGAAACTCATGCCAGGTGCATGTCCAAAATCCGGAGAGGAGAATGGAAGAAAAAGGGAATGCAGCATGGCCATCCCCCCGGGGACAATTTCTTGCTTTGTGCCTCTCTGGCAAGCCCAGGCGCCCTATAGCAAAAATCTCTCAAAAAAGGGGGGTGGTACTGGGTTGTCAGAACTCCCTAGGGGGAGCCCCCCAACCTGGTCCCCAAAGCCTCCTGACTTGCCTCCCCATCAGGATTCAACGTGAACCACCTGGACATCGCCCCACGCTATGCCAGCATCCTCATGGGTATCTCCAACGGCGTGGGCACGTTGTCGGGCATGGTGTGCCCAATCATTGTGGGCGCCATGACCAAGCACAAGGTGCGTGCGGCCCCGACCCGCTGGCCCTCAAGCTCATGCGTGGGACCACCCCGACTGGCGCCTGGGGCTCCAGCTCTCGCCCTTGGTGGTCTCTCGCTGCCTCTCCCTGGACGTCCTCCTCACTTGCTCTGCCGCCTCGGTTCTCTCTCCACCCTGTTTCTCTGTCCTCCTCTCTAACCTCTTCCCCTGTGTCCCCCACAGACTCGGGAGGAGTGGCAGTACGTGTTCCTCATTGCCTCTCTGGTGCACTACGGAGGTGTCATCTTCTATGGGGTCTTCGCTTCTGGGGAGAAGCAGCCGTGGGCGGAGCCCGAGGAGATGAGCGAGGAGAAGTGTGGCTTTGTGGGCCACGACCAGCTGGCTGGCAGCGATGAGAGCGAGATGGAGGATGAGGCCGAGCCCCCCGGGGCACCCCCTGCTCCCCCTCCTTCCTATGGGGCCACTCACAGCACAGTTCAGCCCCCAAGGCCCCCACCCCCTGTCCGGGACTACTGACCACGTGCCTCCCATTGAATGGCAGTTTCCAGGACTTCCACTGCATACACCTCTGGCCTGGGTGATGGTGTCAAGGAACCCCACTCTTCTTTGTCCTGACTCAGGCCTAAGAAGCACTCTCCCTTGTTCCTAGTGCTGTCAAATTCTCTTCCCTTCCCATCTGCCTCTCAGGGGTAGTGAAGCTGCATACTGGCAGTTTCAAGGATGCCCAATTTCCCCTAAAGGTTCCCTTCTCCCCTTGTTCTGCCTCAGTGGTTTCGAATCTCTCCTTTCAGGGCTTTATTTGAATGGACAGTTTAACCTCTTACTCTCCAGGAGGCACATTCCCCCCATTCCTTTAATTCCAGGGGTGCACAGGCTAATCCCTGAGATCACTCAGTCTCCCTTTCCTTTCAGAAAAATTCAAGGTCTTCCTCTAGAAGTTTCAAATCTCTTCCAACTATAGTCTGCAGTTTCAAGGTTGGTTTAACCAAATCACCTGTCCCCGCCATTCCAGGGATTGATTTTCACCAGCGTTTCTGAGGGAAAATGGCGGTTTCAAGTCCCTCCTTCACACGGACCCCCTCCCCCGCAGCAGTTTCTGCCCAAACACCAAATTCCCCAGGACCTTCTCCCTAGCTTAGCACAGCGTCAGGGGAAACAACCAAAATGGCGGTAACAATATGCCTCTCTCCACCCCCTTGCACTTTTTCTGACAGTTTTCAGGGTTAAATGGTGGCTGCTCAAGTCCATTAACTTAATGGTTTGAAGCCACCACCACTGAACTTCCTGCTGGTGGTTTCAAGATGCCCCTCGCCCCTCCATTCCTTGCACTTTATTCTCCTGGGTGGTTTCAGACCACCCGCAGTTTCTCAGTGGCCATTTGTTGTGTCCCTCAGGGGCTAAATGACTCAAAATCTGGGATCCTCCCCCTCTCAGACACCCCTCTTTCGTCTTAGAATTTGGGGCAAATATATAAGAGAAGTCACAGAATCCCAGGAACGGGAATGGGGCCAGGGGAGAGGGGTGTCGCCCGGGGCAGGGTTGTGTCTCTGTGTCTTCTGTCTCTGTGACTGTAAATCCTGCCTGGCCCCACTCCCAATAAAATGCTGTAGTGTACAGACTCAGTGGTCGCTGACTGCGGTCACAGGAGCCCACACCCCCCGCCCAGTCCCCTACTCTCAGCCCCCAGCCCCCTTCTCCCTGAGGCCCAGAGTCTAGGCCCGGCCCCCTTCAGCCCCTGGACTCAGAGCAGAGGAGGTGCCCAGCCGCGGGAACACGTGATTTATTAGGCTTCGGGCCGTGTTCTCCGACCGCAGGGAAAGCATGTTTCTGGAACCTCCATTCGCGCGGATCACTAACTAGCATAGCAGGGCAGGACCCGAGTCCTCCCTTCCTCTGGGGACGAGCAGTCCGCGGGACCAGCGGGCTCACACGAAGTTGTTGGGGAGTGTGGCGGGGGACAGAGCCGCCAGGCGCTGGGGGCGGCCCCCGCGAGGCGGCGGGGGCAGCTTGGGTGGCAGCGGGGGTGTAGGCGGCGGCTGCTTGGTGGCGATGTGCGAAGGGACCCAGGCATCCGGAGCATAAAAGTAGAGGTCGTAGGGGTCCTTCGGGGCGTCCAGATGCATGACTGTGGGAGCAAAGGGGCGCGGTCATGCGCAGGCCGCCAGGGGCCGGGCCCTCTGCCGCGCGGCTGGCCGAGGAGGAAGCGGGAGACAGGGTCCCCGCCACCCTTCGGAACCCGGTTTTCGGAGAAAGGGGAGGGCCCGGAATACACGAGGGGGCGTGGCGTCCGCGAGAGGGGCGGGGCCTGCGGACTCCGGGCCCCGCCCCCGGGGGAGGCGGCCGTGGTGGCCCCGCCTGGCAGTTCCCGCCTGCCGGGGGCAGAACCCGCCCTGTGGGCGCGTGAGCTTCAGCGCGTCGGGGGCAGGACGCGGCTTTTATCGCGCTCGGAGGCGGGTCTGCACTCGGGCAGGGCGCCCTAAAGTTCGTGGTGAGACCCAGCTAAGGGGACTTGCAGGCGCTCCAGACGCGGGCCGCGAAGAACAGGCACAGAGCCCCGCCCGCCGCGCCGCGCGGGCGCCCCACCAGGGTCACGCCTGAACGGGGGACGCGGAGAATAAGCCCCCAGCCCCTCCACTCTGACCAGGAGTCCAGCCCGCCCTCCTCCTCCGGAACCCGGAGTCCAGCCCCGTCCCTCCTCCTCCAGAACCCGGAGTCCAACCCCGC